GCTGATTTCACCCAAGTCATCGATCACTTAATAAGTAGCTACCCCATCACTCCCAGAGAAAACAGAAGAACGCTGTCAAGTTATAGAAGACATTTATTCAGAAAATAATTAAATAATTGGCATGTTTGATTAAACAGAATTTTATTCATCTTTACTATTACTAGTGTTGTTGATAATAATATTGTAGCAAGATCCACACGGGATAAAATACGAAAGGTGTGAAAAATTTAGACATTCGAACCTATGTACACAATGTATATAATAGTTAATTTCCATTGACACGAACATTTGAACTAATAGGTGTGTGCGTTATGTTGTTTATATCGCACAATACGACGATAGTTTTGAATGTTCTTCACTTCTAGTCTATTAATACATGCCGACCGTGTACAAATTACATTGATTTGTATCGGTGAATAAAAATGAACACAACACCGATAAATATATTGAAATAATAATTGCACTCAATTCTACTGATTACCATCAACTTCCGCAAGCCTATGTTAAAGTATAGGAGCTACGATCATCTTAGCGTTAAGATCGTCAAATTAATGATAGTTCGCATCAGTGGCACGATCGTTAAATTTTGCCACGCTTCTTACTCTGAATATTATTATTTTATTCATGAACACTTTTATTCTTTAAAGCTTCAAATGAGTACACAAATTACAGACACTCTTACAGTCACAACCAATTTCTGATGTGCAGATGCAACAATCACTTTTAGCATACACAGTGGTGGTGACTAGATGATCACAGGGAGTATCTGTCACAATACAAACATGGTTGCCACAATATCTTTCCTTGTCAGGAACACAACTGCAAAACGCAGCTTTGGGTACAACACAATTAATCATTTCTATTAAGGTCTTAGTCCTATTTCTCATTTTTTTTAATCATTTTCCTCAAAACATGTAATGAAATTGTATTTTAGGATCAAAGAATGTATATATGCATAGTGCTGCAAAGGCTTACATTTAGATTTCACATGCAGGGCCACATCAAAATCCTAAATATGTAAGGTCAACTGTAGTTATTTATCATTTTTTCAAAACCCTGATACACAAACATAACCATATCTTCCAATTAAGAACACTATCCTTATTCTGATTGCATCATTACACATTAAATTGTGCATATAGTTTGAATTGTCCACTCCCAGGACAAAGCAATGTAGATCAATAATCAATGCTTAGAGATCCTGAAATTTCAATCAATACAAAAGGTGTTATGTCATGTATCCACATCATAATCAAAACATACATCAATATACTTATCGGAACTGACAATTAAAAAATAGATCACATTTGGTAACAAACATCGTCTGCAAAAAAATGAATATGTTTTGATAATAAAATTCTCTATAAAATAGGATATAAATAAAGATAGCATACCCATCTGAATTAAAGTAAATTTCAACATATCATAATAATGTATAGCATTGAATACACTGGTTTAACAACTAGTGTACATTCAAGTTGAAGCAAAGAAACCCTGCAAACACAAAGAGCAATTGACTAATCAAATACTATAGTGACTAGAAATGAGACAAAACTACTGAAAACCCACCTCAAACAGGCAAATGTTTTTGACAACACCAACTATTTCCTTACAAAGACAAGACTAAGCATCACAATCAAAGTCAGCCGGCTTTGTCTACAAACCAAGAAAAGGAATTATTGCTTAAGTATATACAATGTTTTCAGGGTTGGGTAACGACAAAGATCCATAGTTACGTGAACCCAGTATGTCAACTTTCTCTGAATATTATGGTTGACAGTTGATATGGCGTTTGATTCCACCACCTTCAGCAATATTCAAGCCATATGACCAGCATACAACAAACAGTACGTCATAGTGCAATATGCTAACGCCGCTATGAACAGTATTTCAGTTTTATCCCGGCGTGTCAACTTGACAAGAACCAAAATATGAAGGTACCGGTATGTTGCTGAAAAAACTAAGCAGATCATTATCAGTCAGAAACTGGGATTCGAACATGTATTTAAAGGTTTCCGACACGCACAAGGATGTATTTCTGCACAGCTAATTGCGGCGCCTTTGACGGCTGGGACATGCGTGCCACATAAAAAATAATGATTACCAGAAATAAAATAATATGTCCCTCATTGCCATAACAAGGAACAGGTTTTATTTGTTGGAACCTTCTCTTCAGTTGCATGGTGGAACATATTAAAGAAATATCAGGCAGTGAGGACCTTGAATGTGACGATCGAAAGCTTTCAGCTGTAGCAGTTGTGGCAAACGTGACAGTACTGGCAGTGGTAGTGGTCGTAGTAGTGGTAGTGGCAGTGGTAATGGTAGTAGTACTGGTAGCGGTAGTAGTAGTGAATAAATGAGTTTGGGTTAACGCCGCTCTGAACAGTATTCCAGCTATATCTCGGCGTGTCAGCTTAGTGTGGGAGAAAAGCCCGAATGAATGCAGGTCTCAAACGTTCACCACTCTGGTGAAACCCACGAGCACGAATAGTAGTTGTAGTAGTAGTAGTAGTAGTGGTGCTGGTAGGAGCGAAGGTGGTGGTGATAGTAGTAGTAGTAGTTGTTGTTGTTGTTGCAAATATGACAGTAGCTGTGGTAGTAATAGTAGAAGTAGTAGTAGGAGAATGAATGAGTTGGGGTTAACATCGCTCTGAACAGTATTCCAGGTATATCACATTCTGTCAGCTTAGTGTGCGAGGAAAGCCCGAAGTGATGAAGTTCTCATACGCTTACCACTTTGGTGAAACCCACGAGCACAGGTATGGTGCGGACAAACCTAGAAACATAAACGGGGCGAACCGGGATTCGAACCCACGACCATAGGTTTATGGCGTGCCCGGGGGACGCAACTCAACTCAAGTAGTAGTAGTAGTAGTAGTAGTAGTTGTTGTAGTGATGTTGTTGTTGTTGATGTTGTGGGTGGTGGTGGTTATTGTGTAGTAATTTCATTTTGTAATAATTCAAAGGCTTTTGTAGAAGAAAAGGCAACCAAGCAACAAAATATCCATTAAAGTCATCGAGGTTGATGGGTTGGGTGGTTGTTTTTACATGTAAATATGTAAGCTCTAAGCTTCCTAAAATGCATTTACCTGATGAAGGAGTAATCATATACTCTGAAACGTCGTGTTTCTTATGATAAAGAAATTGTGTATCACTCACTTCTAAATGCCATAATAAGACTACAGTGACAGTGGCTAACAATAAACCTCCCGGGTAGCCCTTGCTGAAAGCTGAACCAAATAGTTTCGGGCATATGGGGACGAGCTTTCGGGTTAGGGTTAAACATAACCGCAAAGTATTGCAGGGCATTGACAGTGAAGAAGCAGACAGCTGACCCCAGCTGAACCCGCAGTACGAATGGCAACTGCAGCCAAACTTTTTCAAGCTTCTGGATCACATGTAGGAACCTCACCGCGTGGACAGGTTAGCTTCAATAGTCAACACGTGCACACAGCTACCTTTGTACAACAGCAGGGTCTTAGACCCCTCAACATCAGGCATAGATGCGTCAGCCCAACAGGACTGGGAAGAGCTGACCCATTTTGTCCATCCACCATTCAGGATGATCCGCAGATCCTTGACATGCTTGAGGCCAAGGGAGACCACACCACGCTAGTAGCACTGTTGTGGAAAAGACAGCCATGGTTCAGAAAGCTGACACATATGCTTTAATTGTGGCTCAACCATTCAAACTGCGAAATCCAGGACTAATGTTCCTGATGAGGAACGAAACGCCAGTGTCATGCAGCAACTTGTGATGGAAAGCGTTTGCTTGGAGATTTTCTGGTTGCAGAGACTTTTGTGGGAGGGCTGGTCAGCTCGATGCAGAACACAATTACCCTTCTGTTTGACCAAGGGTACATAAGGGTTGTTCAATAGGCTGTTAGGCAAATTGAGTAAATTGTAAGACAGTTGGTGCCTCATTCCCTCGAGTTTCAACCACTATGTTCGGGTAATTTCTCTGTTCAGTAACAGATAAATCACAACGGCCTGTATCACTAAAATCCTGCCTTAACTGCATCAGTGTGTCTCTGTGATTCAATAGGGATATTGCTCAGAACAACATTAGACATTAACGCGATGTCTTCATTAAAGCCATGCATATGTTGTAAATGTTGTATATGTCATGATCTTTAATCGAGAACATGCTGATAAAAGATATGCGCGAGAAAACACGTGATATTAGCCTTCGCCGTAATGAAAAGGTTATCAGACGTGGCGCCACCTGGCGTCTTGTTCAGTCCGAATGGTGAAATGACGAATATATTGTTCAGGCGGACTTAGGTACATTTCAAGGAGGATGGATCACTTGACCTTGATTTTCATGGCACAAAGAATAGCAGTGACATGGATTACGGTGACCATGCAGCCTGCGTCGGTTGAGGCTGTGGACTCTGTCACAAGATTCACAAGATCCAAATCATCCACAGTGGGGCCAGTGGACATCTTGTGTTAATTACTCTAAAAATATCCCTGTAAAGCGATCACATCTAGCACAATGGCTTCTGTTGGGAATGTTGCTCTATATCCGGTTGGCTTAAGACGTTCGGGATTTTGTGCCCAAATCGTTGGACCCTCTCGGTCTACAAAACGCCAGGCTCTTGGCAGACGACAGAGAGTGTGATCTATGAATATTAGGTTCATGAATAACCATCAATGTTGACAACAAATTCAATACCATGAATGGCACATCATTGTCTCGTGACACTTGAATGTGTTTTGTATTTACTTCATCAGTTGACGTTCGTATTCTTAAGATGGTTCAAGTTAATAAAGGTCATGATGAGCTAAAGTAGGTGGTATTTCTCTCCACTAAGGCAGTCTATGTATTGCAGTAAATAAACTTTGGAATTGGGCATAGTAAGTTTTCTAAAAAAAGAGCTAGAGATAACTGGAAAAAATCCCTTTGAATTACATTATATAACTCTGCAGGACGATTCCAAGCCGTATGTTAAACATAGTGAGGAACAAGAGACAAAGAACACTGTAGTAATAATTTATCTGATTTTGTACAATTCAGACTGTATCATAAGCATGCATGTGTTCGTGACAATATGAGTGTATCTTGCTGCGTTAGTAGTTTGCGACCATATGGTATCCTACTATTTTGTCTTTTGCACCTAATGGAACCTTTTGTCTGCAGATAATCGAAGGTTCTGGGTGGAAAACATTGAACGTTGTCATTCCGTATGAACATTGTTATTTTTGTTGTGCATGGTAAAAGTACCGCCGCTTGGGGCCAGAACTGGTTCTCACGTGATGTTATATAAAATAGGCAGCTAAAACCCGTACTGAAAGAAGCGTGAGTACAATATGCGATATTTGGGCGATTTCTTTTTTTGTGGTTTCCATGACAAAAAAACTTTTGGCCAATTAAGATACAGTGATATGAGTGTTTATGTATTTAGTTTGAAAACTCAAGCTTGGTGTATTTATAACTTTGTAACATGGAGCGAGAACCATGGGACTATACAGTTTAATGCAAAAGGAAGTGTTTTCCGACATGATACAAAACGGACGTACCAATAGCTTGGCTGTAAGCGGAACTAGAATCATGGGGCTCTTTTTAATTCTAATGCAGTAAGAAATTGTTGTACGATCCTGTAGTCACATGATCCACACTGGATGTACTGATAGTTTCCTTATAAAACTCAGTTTGAACTGTTTGACATCCGTTTTGCTTATAAAATCCCGCAAATATATAATCGCGCTAATGTCGCCCATAGGTTTGGATTTATCTCTCTGTTGGTGTCTGTTTTGGTATTTCTGAGGACGGTCGGAGGAGTATTCCAATAATAATAATGGGGCCCAATCGGGAATTTGGAATCTGTGGCAACAGGATCGTGGCAAGTCTGACTGAAATCACAGTCGCCTAAATATCCCAGTAAATTTACAAATTACTGTACAAATTGGCCATTTATTTTATGATAACGAATTCAACACATTTTGATGTTCAGTGTAATCACCTAGTGAAAATGTAAGGGTAAACAGAAGACAATATATATTTGTTAGTTTTGTTGTTTCTAATCCTAGCATAACTATTGTACTTTGTTCATTTGGGCCCTTTTCAGCTTCTTAATAATCTTCACTTTAGTCAATCAGTCACATAAATCAACTTATCAGTCAATTTGTAAAATAACTGAAATGTGTAGGCATTTTGTAAACTGCCTGAGTGAATCACATGTAACACATTGACTGTGACAGGTTATTAAAATATGCTGAATAATGACATTGTTGACATCATATGTAATAATTGTAACGGGAACGGACATCTAAACAACAGTTTCCGTCAGCATTGATATTCAAATACTTTCTGCATATACAGTGAGGACTAAACCCTGACACTAAAATCCAACAAGGATTTGAACAAATTATGATGTCACCGTGAGAGAAAACATACATGAAAGTTCAGCTTCTTTTGTATGAGTATTCCAGTTTACAGAAGTCAAATATTCATTTTACGCAAATATCAGAACATGGCCAAAAGAATAAGGTCAATACCATGGCAAAACTATTTCGAAACACGGAAAATATATGTTCAGCCCAAACATTTATTAAACTTGTAGCAAATTGTATTCCATTTTTAAACACAAAAGAGCTGAGTAGTGGCCATAAAAAGCTATAAACTGGATTCGAACCTCTTGAACAAATGTGGGGTCGTCATGGATAGGACGAACCATGAAACGATGTGACGATGTTGATGGCGGATCACGGGCAAACAGGCTGCGACATAAGCTTACTCGATGTTCAGTCAGGTGAGAAAGGATATCCAATATAACTTGTAATAATTGAATTGAATTGAATGATCTAGATAATAAATGTTCGCAACTTCAAAATAATCAGTCATAAAGTTTACAAATCAAACATTGCAAATCGAAGTAACATGTAAATAGTGACTACAAATAACAATACCCACTGTTCTAATGTACTTAGTTCCATCATGCATATTTAAGTGACAATATACAAATCCTAAAGCGAATTTCTGAAGAAAATGCAGCTACCCTATGGCAACCTCCGAGCACCGAACAAATGATACTGGTGCCCGTCGCCATGCAAGCCTAATGGTTGCTAGGGTCATTGGTGTTGTACGCCTCTTTCAGCAACATACCAGCAACATGGAACACCAAGTACTCCACACACACAACACAAAGTGATATAATCACTGGACAAAATAAGCGTCGTACCTATACGGGGAATAGAAGCCAGGTCTGCTGTCTGACAAGCGAACACTTTACCACCAGGTTCCACCCACGTCTAGAGTCTAGGAGAACATTGCAACCGTCGTGAAAACAGTGACGAAGAGAAATATGATTGTCAGAGCGCGTGCGAGAACAATGGCCAGCTGCTTCCATTCATATGTAATCTGGTCAAGGCTGTCTTGTTTGGCGACCCTCCTCTTCTGCAGCCCTATGGCCTGCTCTACTGTGTGGAGTAGCCGGTTGAGAACATCCACCACGTTAGTCCCGCCAGCCTGCTGTCCCTCCGCCAGGCTCAGGGTGGGTGCTGGTATGTCTGCATGGTTGGCCTCGTCATAAGCGGCATTTCGTGCCTGTGTGTGAAGTATGGAAATAGAGAGCATGTCAGAGGGAAACCCGAGCCTTTAATAGAACGCACACGAGGACGTAGCAACAGCAATTAAAGGACATCGGCTCTAAGAATCTCTCATCAACAGTCACTATTTCCCCCGTCCAATCTCTCATTCACTTGCATTATCATTTGACCACAGTTGACAAGAGTATTGTTATCTATATATCACATACGATGTTCAAAACATTTGCATATATAAATTGTTGAACACAAGCCTAATGATGAAATAACAGTTTTCACCCAAAGAAACTATTGCCGACAGTATCAAAGAATCAAATAAGCATCAAACATACCATTTCCTGGTCGTCAGACTCTGGCACGTCTATTTTGATGAACAGGATCCTGGCAAGAAAACTGAAGCACACAGTTTTCACAAGCCTTGGCAGTTTGTGTCCTCTCGGTCCTCGGTGATGAATATTGAGAGTGAGCACGGCCAGGCCTGTACTCAGCGACACAATGAGGATACTGACAGCGTAGTACTTACCTGTGGGAGAATAACTCACATTAAGGATATTTTATTCGAGAGCATGATATTATGCAATCATAAAAATATAAGGTAGTGTGTGTGTGTGTGTGTGTGTGTGTGTGTGTGTGTGTGTGTGTGTGTGTGTGTGTGTGTGTGTGTGTGTGTGATTTGGGGGGATTCTGATTATCGAATATACTGTAATCATGATGAAAAACAATTTCGAAATCAGGGCATGCTGATAACAAACTTTTCCAGACCAGAGAGCATCCAATAACAAACTATATCAAACTCTAATGTCAAACTCACGTCTTTGAAAGGCATTTAGAAGTGATAATTGAATTTATGGATGTCAACTTCTTTATTATGAGGAACACAACGTTTCGGAGTAAATGCTTACTCCTTGACAATTGAAATTATGGATGTCAACTTCTTTATTATGAGGAACACAACGTTTCGGAGTAAATGCTTACTCCTTGATAATTGAATTTATGGATGTCAACTTCTTTATTATGAGGAACACAACGTTTCCCAAACTCTGACATTCAAAACGGCTTATGTGCTTATGAAACATCTATGGTGTTCCTGCACATAGTAATCACTCGAGCCATACGCTGGGCTATGTAAGGACAGACTATTGATAGTCACAGAAAGGTTCTGAGGACAGCTAACTGTTGTTTTAAATCACTTCGGCATTTACCAAAACGACAGACACCAATCAATAAAATGTATGTGATATTGAGGATGGATGTACAGATCCGTGACTTGGTGTACAGTCATTTGTAATTTCGGACAATGTTGCGAAATATATTTGTATAGCGCTGAAAGTAGATAACTTTTAAAAGGTTTATTTTATTTTGTCAATTACTCATGCTTATGAATAATTAAGATACTTATTTTCTAAATAAAATAATAAATTCGAAAGTTTCTTTTGTTTTCTATCAACAGCTCATGCTTTTCGAGGTATATAGATTTAGATTCATTTAATTATTTCACCATCTATGTTATTGCCGTATCAGCAATACAACTGTTCGCGCATCTGATGTATGTATAAATACAGTTGTCCTCAAGCCAGATAATAGTAATGTAATATATTGAGAAGAAAATGTCAAGAGTAATGTTCTTTTCACATTATATCTACGCATGTGTATCGACAGTTAAACAAATAAAAGATCCGTCTGTCAAATCCAGATGCATCTGAGACTATATGCGGGGTTCTAAAGTGTCATCTCCATCACCCATTGTCAAACTTCCAAAGGACTTTAATGTATCCTGCCCATGACATCCTACATCCATTCGTCTCTTAAGTGAATGAGTTCGTCAGTTGGAATTAGGGGGAAAGCAAAGAGTGATGGAGGTCTAAGAGATTTACCGCTTTGGTGAAATCCACAAGCACGGGTATGGTGCTGAGAAACCAAAACAAACTAATCTGGGATTCAAACCTATTATCATAGGTTTCTGGCACGAGTTAGGGATTCAACTCTGTACAGCGCATTGCGAAACTTAGACTACTGGGTCACCCTTGCCCTCGTCAAAAGTAACATTTTAAGTATGTGACCTTAACAATACAGTAAATATTGATTTAATTTGGTTAAACACCTTCATAAGTCAGGGCATCAACATCTACTTTATTCGTTTTTTATAAAAATCTCGTGCATATTTTCCAGGGAATCCAGGCACGGCGATTTTGGTGAATTAGAGAAAGCTAAACAGACAAAGGGGTGCAAAAATGTCACGTTGGAATCGTTGTCTTTTCATAAGATAGCGACAAAGCTGTCTTTTGTTCGTGGTAATGCCAAGCATGTTTCGTATTCAGAAACACACGTATGGTATTGCGTTGATAATACTTTCAGGATGGGATTGCGTCCCGAGACTTGGTATTTTATTCAGTTACATTTGCAAAACTAACTTGTAATTTTACTTAAACATAAACTTAAACTTAAACTAGGAGCCTAAATATATGTTATTAAAAAACACACCTTGCAATAATTTATTTGCTTCAAATCTTCATATTTTTCAGACATAGATGGCATAAGACGATTCACACATTTATGTTTAGTCCATGTGCGGGAATGTGATACGAGGGTTGACTGATTCGCGAATAGAGAAACCTAAAAACGATTTATTTTTCAAACGACCTCTCTTCCATTGATAATGATAAACACCTGCAAACGATGTTGGACGGATGCATCACACTTTCGTAAAAGTTCTTCTTTTGGCTGTCCATGGCAATAACTAATTTGTGAATTGGTGCATTGTCCTGGTGCAAGAGCACACCACGTTTTGTCAGCTTCCCACGTGTCTTAGTTTTAATTTCATCTCGTAAACGCCAGACAAAATATGTTCATATAAGGTCTACCATTTTGACACCCTCGTCATCGCAGAACATGGTGGCCATAACTTTTCCAACTAATGTGGCTTAGTCACAAATCATTGGAAGAAACTTTCTGTGTCTTAAGGCTTTTGATACTACGGCTTCTCACAGAATCTTGCATATTTTACTGACTCATAACAATGAAACGATTTGCTCAGTTAACTCAAGTTTGTGTGGATATTCCCCTACAACTTCATGCAGTGTCCACAACACATTTACATATTTGTCCTATTACGCAATTCCTTCTATTTAAAGTTCAGAATTTGTCAACCCTCGTTTTCCTCACAGATACCAGTTGCCTCAGATCAGACGAAAGCATGTCAGGACCACTGAGAAGGAAGCCCTTAGTAAACGCTAAAATTAACAGTTTCTTTACCACCTTCCCACGAAAGAGAAACAATGCTATTACAGCGAAAATACCTACTTTTTGATGGAGCAGCACGGTTAAAACTGCAAGATTACCCCTGACTTTGTGAATTGTGATTAATACGAATACGTGTTCAAATGATACATACATGTAGCTAACTTCTAGGTAGAAAAGCCTTATTTTGTTTGTTTTTGACACTGATAATGTAAACATGATTGACAATCATGACACTATTTTGTGCTTTAACTTCTATTTGTTTTAGATAAGACTACATCTGCGTAAAAAAGGAGAGTAATTTATTTACCATTGGACCTCTTATGAGCGTTCACATCTGGCGCCCTTTACAAAGTAGTTCCATTTTGTTTCAAGATTTTTGTCAATCATATTTGCAACCTTGTTCTTGGACATTTTCGGTGTTGCGATTAAATCCAAGCCAACTACCCGAATACCCAATGTCAAGTCCCTGAAGCTGTTACGCCATGAAATAACTGAAGTACTGCAGAGTTAAACTCAACTTACTCACTCACTCTTTTAAAAAACTTTAAGGAAGTAAAAACATACCAATAAGAGGAATCGCTAAAGACGTCGGTGGCAATATCGTCGAGATAACAAGCAACAATGCTATCATTGCCAGGAGAGACGTGATTCCTATGGAGATTTTCTCTCCAGATTCATTCGGCACCAGAAGTCCCAGCAGAGCAACCAACGTGATGACTAGACAGGGCATCATTAGATTAACTAGGAAGAACAAGGGCCTCCGTCTCACGACCACTCGGTACATCAATGCGAGGTAGGGCTCGGGGCAACATGAGTAATATGAGACCTGTCGACTTTTCTTGAAGGAGACCATGTCCCATTCCGCACTGCCAATGTATTCATATAAACCTACGTCTCCACTTTCACCATTTGTGAGATTTAGTTGATCACCATTGGATGTCCACGACAGGAACACCATCTGACAGTATTGTTGATCCATGGGGAAGTAGGCAACGTCAATTGTACACAACGTTTTTAAGATGACCTGATAAACCAGTAATACTTCTCCACTTGACTGTACTACTGCGTTGTGGTACTCGCTATGCGACAGTTGGTTGTTTACTTCCACTCTGCAGGATAAATGAATAAAACATGTCAAAAAAATTTCAATCTGTCACTGTAACTAGTTTAAGGGTCTTTGAACAATTTCTCAACATTGGGCAGTAATGAAAGTATGTGTTTAGGTATTCCACAACATATTATTTCAAATTTAAATCATTGTCTTTCCAAAATGATTGAGCATCTGACATTTTACATGCACAAGAATAAGGAACGTACACACACACTCATGCACAAGACACACATACACATATATGAGTGACAAAAAAGATAAGCACCGCTTACTGTATTATATATCAACACAAAGTTGCAATTTCTACATTTCCCAGACAAAACATATTTGTGACTTATTCGTATTGACATACAGTGACCGAGTGGTTCATATATCGGGGGAGAAACGTGCCTTTTCAATGCAGAGTTTTGTAATCGGAAGATTGAGAACCAGCCGCAGAACGCATACAGTCATCGGAGGTGGTTATTTGAAATCAGAGAATGACCAAGCACCCAGTAGTTGCCAACCTAATGGTAGCTTTTGCAGCTGTATTATGACAAGTCATAAATTCCTCTCCACCTTTGCATCCTGTCATATAACGAACCCAGTATGTGCCCCCGCGTGAAGAAACAACCTTCAGCAGGAATCAGTGGTGTTATGCTATCCATGAAACATGTAAGATTAGTGTCATAAATATAAAGATATTTCCAAGAGACGCATGGTTCTTCAGGATATATGACGAAAGAAATGAAGCACCAGTGTTGCTTTACATTTTTCCAGGAGCATGTATCTTCCTATTATGAAAGTACTGCACTCCTTATCGATAATTGAGATTATTGCTAATTGTATAAGATAACAGAAATAGTAACATTAGTATTAACTTACAGGTTGTTATCATGATGTATAAGCATATTCCGTTTACTATCAGTGGCCAGAAGGTTAGTAAACAGCGAATTTACTATGCTGCCTGGTAGACTGCATGATACTGCTGTAGGGAGAACGTAATATATTTCAGTTTTGGCACCAAGACTGATAGTATTGTTCACTTCCGCTTTAGGCAGTGTCACGTTTACCGTTTTGCGGAAAGAAGGAGAAACTGAAGCTGCTGACAAAATATGTTTTAATATATTTTATAGTCTATCACACTCAAGGTAAAACATATAAGTTCTTCATATATAATAAGTGCCGCGAAAATGTATGCATCATTGTTATACCATTTAAAAAAACCCTTTACTCTGGGTAATCTCACGTCGCTTATTTTGAACCAGTTTTAGCGCTGTTAACTCTAATTAATGTTCCAACATATTTGCAAAATACGGCATTGCTAAATGGAATGACGGGTTTCATCTCACATCAAATAATAATTTTGTTAGCAGTGTTTAAGCTTACTATCATTGTTGATCTGTGACAGAACTCATGTTGAAGGAAGGTACCGATGGATTGTGGTTCAGTTACTGACATAATTCGGGCCGAACAGAGCTTCCTAGAACATTGATGATCTTGAGGGCCCGTTGATGTGTGACACCCGGTGTCATCGCTATTTGGTTGTGATTCATACATACATACAACCATACAATCGACTCTGCTTTTTCCAGAGATTTCTTATGAATACGGCAAGGGTCCTGACATCCCGAACGGGACTCAACCCAAAAAAGTACGAGAATCTGTACTTTACTAAGAAAGTGTTCTTCCAAATATAACATTTGTTACATTTGATCATTTTCTAAATGACATTGAGTATTCATAACTTTCGACCATGGGAGCGGTGGCAATTTACACTTGCCAGAGGGGTACACAACGTTCGTGATCTAGACTACTAGTTGTCGGATTTTCATTTTTTGGGAAGCCTCGGTGGTTGAGTGGGCTAAATCGCTGGCTTTGTGTGCTGGCGATTAGGTGCCTCACTCTGGCAGTGTGAGTTCGGGACGGGAGAATCTGTACTTTACTAAGAAAGAGTCATCCCAAATATAACATTTGTTAAATATGGAAATGTTTGTGAATTTTTACAGTTTTCGTCACAACACATTTTGATACTTATGAGTCAGAGTGTTAGGTATACACTGGTTTTGTAACGTTGCTGATGATAGTTTGTCATGACTGACAAAACTATGAGCTTTATACCAAGTACGCAATGGGAGGTTGGTTACATTTGCCAGTATAAAACAAGCTTTGTTTACTTTTTTTACCTGCCAATTACTTTTTGCTGTATCGTGTAAACAAACATACACAACACACATACACAACTAGAAACAATTATGTTATCTTTCACCTGTTGTCATTTGTTATGTACTTATTTTCAGCAACTGTCAAAAGCACAGAATCAAAACTGTATGAAAGTGCCGTGCAACTTTCTACATGTATTGTATTGTTTATTGTTTAACGCTGCACTCAGCAATATTCCAGCTATATGACGGCGGTCAGTAAATAACCAAATCTGGATCAGACAATCCAGTGACTGATATCATGAGCATCGATCCACACAATTGGGAAACAATGACATGCAGCAACAAAGTCGGCGAGCCTAAACCACCCGATCCCGTTAGCCGCCTCTTAAACAAGCATAGACGCCTTTTACGGCAAACATGGGTTGCTGAAAACCTGTTCTACCCTGGATCGCAATTACTACAGGTTTATTGAATATACTAAGAATACTAGTAAAGATCAATTATTATATCATTATAACCAGCAGTTCTTTGAAAGATCCATGGTTATCTCTACTAACTGAGTAGTAAATTGTACTAATCTAGGATAGGGAATCTACCAGTCAAATGAGTAAACAAAATAATATGTGGTTACTAAAGTCTACCAACACCTTGGTGTCTGAGTTGACAGTGCAATTCACTAACCATTTTAAGAAACTTTACTTACTTTTTCTGTCAGTGTTAGTATATACAAATACAAACAACATCAACTATTTCTGATATATTTTAATCAAGATGAAAGCTCTTTCTAAAAAAGGGGTGCTTACGAGTTAGGTATTCGAATGTCAGGCGTCCATATGGCATCGGATGGGATCCGTAGGTCGGTCACGTTATCACGTTCTTCCTGTTGCAATGCCAATGATGCATCCCTCCATTTCTGGAAAAAAGATGCATGATCCACTATCCTGAAACTTGTGATATATTTTAGAGAGTATTATAGAAGTCTGTCTGTTTTTAACTGTAACCCCAAAATCTAAATAAAACGTCTTGCTCAATAGATAGTCTGGATTTGAGATAACTTTGGTACAATTACACCCATACTGATCATTAAAAACACCACACTCTCATTATCACAGATCTTGTATAAACCTGCTCAGTACCGTAGCCAGGATCATCGACAACACTTCACAGTTTGTATACACCACAATACACTCGGCCGCTGGTGACGTGTGTCTATTGTTACTAATGACATGAGGTCGTGTATAAATTTCCGTGCATGAATTTTAGGCAAAATCAACTACTGCCTGATATGGAACACTGCAGAGAAGATCGATGGAGAGCACATGTCGCACTACGATATCACCGTTTGTGCGACTTGAACTCTCATAAGTCGGACAGGGCACTCACTAGTTTCTTTCACGCCGGAGCAAGCCCGTGGCATGATTTGTTTGGCATAAAACAATGGGACAACACCCAAAGCGCCCAATTAAGCGTGTATTAACGGCTGATGGGAGAACATGTGAAGTAATGATGATATTCAAGGATCCCATGATTTTTGGTTCGAATCCTAGACTGATTATGAACCTTGATTTGTCAGCCCATGCTCGAGTGTTTCAGGTAAACGGTGGAAGGTGGTATACTTGAACCACTACCTGTATCATTTATTCGACTTCTTCTCACATAAAGCTGACACATTGTGATATAACTGGAATATTGATCAAAACAGCGTAAAACTCATTCACTCTCTCATATTTACCAAAGTTATCCAGCAATTTGTCGTCATCACTTGCTTTCTCTCGTCCTGCAATAAGTGAAAAGGAAATATGATGATGTTGTTACTCCGCAGACTAACGTATACGAAGAAAGTACTTTGCTTTTCATTTTATTCAAAACAACAATTTTTGCAATATAACGGCAAATACACTTTGTTCCAGATTCAATAATGACGCTATATAGTACACTAAACACAGCTCCCTCACTAACTCAGTAACAATGCCCCTGGCAGCCTAAGAAACCTGGGAAATCGTAACATCGTATTGAGAAAGTCAATTCGAATGTTGGAAGAGTATGGTGCTTCTCATAGCATACCGACACCATTGCAACATACAACCTAAGTGTATCACAATTGAGTTTTAACTACTGGGACAATACTGCAATATGAATATTAAGTGCACTTACGATGTCGGAGACCTCGACCAGGGTAACGTCCATCCACACGTTCAGTGTCTCGTTAGGCCCGAAAGGTTCAACACGTTTGTCGTAGTTGCGAAACATATCAGTGACCAGGCTGTGTTTGGGATTACAGGCTGCAGAGTCTGACAACAAATTAAAACATTATCAGTGATGCTCGGGAGATCGAAACAACAGAACAATATCAGGAATACAAGGGAGATGGGAAACATCAGAACAATATCAGGTATACACGGGAGATGGGAAACAACAGAACAATATCAGGGATAACAGGAGAAGGGAAACAACAAAACAAAATCAGGGATACACGAGAGATGGAAAACAACAGAACAACATTAGGGATAAACGGGAGATGGGAAACAACAGAACAATATCAGGGATAACAGGAGATGGGAAACAACAGAACAAAATCAGGGATACATGGGAGATGGGAAACAACAGAACAATATCAGGGGTACACGGGAGATGGGAAACAACAGAACAATATCAGGGATAACAGGAGATGGGAAACAACAGAACAAAATCAGGGATACATGGGAGATGGGAAACAACAGAACAATATCAGGGATAAACTGGAGATGGGAAACAACAGAACAATATCAGGGGTACACGGGAGATGGGAAGCAACAGATCAATATCAGGGGTACATGGGAGATTGGAAACAACAGAACAATATTAGGGGTACACGGGAGATGGGAAACAACAGAACAATATCAGGGGTACATGGGAGATTGGAAACAACAGAACAATATTAGGTGTACACGGGAGATGGGAAACAACAGAACAATATGAGGGGTACACGTAAGAAGGGAAACAACAGAACAATATCCGAGATACAGGAGCAATTGGAAATAACAGTAACATATCAGGGTTACACGGTAGATGGGAAACAAAAGAACAATATCACGGATACACTGCAAATGGGAAACAACAAAATATTAGCTGGGGTAAACGGGAAACAGGAAACAACAGAAAAATATCAGGAATACACGGGGGATGAGAAAAAACTGAAAAATATCAGGGATAAACGAGAGATGGGAAACAACAGAACAATATCAGGGATACACGGGCGATGGGATACAACAGAACAATATCGGGGATACACGGGAGATGGGAAACATCAGAACAATATCAGGTATACACGGGAGATGGGAAACAACAGAACAATATCAGGGAAACACGGGAGATGGGAAACAACAGAACAAAATCAGGGGTACACGGGAGATGGTAAACAACAGAACAAAATCAGGGGTACACGGGAGATGGTAAACAACAGAACAATATCAGGGGTACACGGGAGATGACAAACAACAGAGAACAACTTCAGGGGTACACGGGAAATGGGAAACAACAGACCAATATCACGGGTACATGAGAGATGAGAAACAACAGAGAACAATATCAGGGATACACGGGGGATGAGAAACAACAGAACAATATCAGGGGTAAACTGCAAATGGGAAACAACAGAACAATATCAGGGATACACGTGAGATGACAAACAACAGAGAACAATATCAGGTATACACGGGAGATGTAAAACAAAAGAAAAATATGAGGTATACACGGGAAATGGGAAAGAACAGAACAATATCTGGGATACAGGAGAAATCGGAAACAACCGTACAATATCAGGGGTACACGGTAGATGGCAAACAAAAGAACAATATCAGGGATACACTGTAAATGGGAAACAACAAATCAATATCAGGGGTACACGTGAGATGGGAAACAACAGAACAATATCAGGGATACATAGAAAATGGGAAACAACGGAACGATATCACAGATACACGTGAGATGGGAAACAACAGAATGATATCAGGGATACATGGGAGATGAGAAACAACAGAGAACAATATCAGGGTTACACGGTAGATGGGAAAGAAAATAACAATATCAGGGCTACACTGCAAATGGGAAACAACAAAATAATATCAGGGGTAAACGGAAAATAGGAAACAAAAGAAAAATATCAGGAAAACACGGGGTCTGAGAAACAACAGAACAATATCAGGGATACACGGCAGATGGGAAACAACAGAACAATATCCGGGATATACGAGAAATGGGAAACAACAGTGCAATATCAGGGATACATGGGAAATGGGAAACAAAAAAAACAATATCAGGGATAACAGGAGAAGGGAAACAACAGAACAAAATCAGGGATACACGGGGGATGGGAAGTAAAAGAACAATATCAGGGGTACACGAGAGATGGAAAACAACAGAACAACATTAGGGATAAACGGGAGATGGGAAACAACAGAACAATATCAGGGATAACAGGAGATGGGAAACAACAGAACAAAATCAGGGATACATGGGAGATGGGAAACAACAGAACAATATCAGGGGTACACGGGAGATGGGAAACAACAGAACAATATCAGGGATAACAGGAGATGGGAAACAACAGAACAAAATCCGGGATACATGGGAGATGGGAAACAACAGAACAATATCAGGGATAAACTGGAGATGGGAAACAACAGAACAATATCAGGGGTACACGGGAGATGGGAAGCAACAGATCAATATCAGGGGTACATGGGAGATTGGAAACACCAGAACAATATTAGGGGTACACGGGAGATGGGAAACAACAGAACAATATCAGGGGTACATGGGAGATTGGAAACAACAGAACAATATTGGGGGTACACGGGAGATGGGAAACAACAGAACAATATTGGGGATAAACGGGAGATGGGAAACAACAGACCAATATGAGGGGTACACGTGAGAAGGGAAACAACAGAACAATATCAAAGATACAGGAGCAATTGGAAATAACAGTAACATATCAGGGTTACACGGCAGATGGTAAACAAAAGAACAATATCACGGATACACTGCAAATGGGAAACAACAAAATATTAGCAGGGGAAACGGGAAAAAGGAAACAACAGAACAATATCGGGGATACACGGGGGATGAGAAACAACAGAGAACAATATCAGAGTACACGTGAGATGGGAAACAACAGAACAATATCAGGGATACACGGGAGATGTGAAACAACAGCACGATATCAGAGATACATGGGGGTTGAGAAACAACAGAGAACACTATCAGGGGCATATGTAAGATGGGAAACAACAGAACGATATTAGGGATACACAGGAGATGTGAAACAACAGAAAAATATCAGGGATAAACGAGAGATGGGAAACAACAGAACAATATCAGGGGTACACGGGAGATGGGAAACAACAGAACAATATCGGGGATAAACGGGGGATGACAAACAAAAGAACAATATCAGGAGTACACGTGAGATGGAAAACAACAGGACAATATCAGGGATACACGAGAGATGGGAAACAACAGGACAATATCAGGGATACACGGGAGATGGGAAACAACAGAACAATATAAGGAATACACGAGAGATGGGAAACAACAGGACAATATCATGGATATACGGTGAGATGGGAAATAACAGGACAATATCAGGGTACACGTGAGATGGGAAAAGAACAGGACAATATCAGGATACACGAGAGATGGGAAACAAAAGGACAATATCAGGGATACACGGGAGATGGGAAACAACAGAACAATATCAGGGATACACGAGAGATGGGAAACAACAGAACAATATCAGGAATACACGGGAGATGGGAAACAACAGAACAATATCAGGGATACACGGGGTATGGGAAACAACAGGACAATATCAGGGATACACGGGAGATTGGAAACAACAGGACAATAACAGGGATACACGAGAGATGGGAAACACAGAACAATATCAGGGAAAGACGGGAGATGGGAAATAACAGAACAATATCAGGGATACATGGGAGATGGGAAACAAAAGAACAATATCAGGGGTACACGGGAGATGGGAAACAACAGAACAATATCAGGGAGAACAGGAGATGGGAAATAACAGAACCATGTCAGGGATACACGGGGGATGGGAAATAAAAGAACAATATCAGGGTACACGGGGGATGGGAAACAACAGAACAATATCAGGTGTACAAGCGAGATGGGAAATAACAGAACAATATCAGGGATACACGGGAGATGGGAAACAAAAGAACAATATCAGGGGTACACGGGAGATGGGAAACAACAGAACAATATCAGGGAGAACAGGAGATGGGAAACAACAGAAAAATATCAGGGATACACGGGAGATTGGAAACAACAGGACAATAACAGGGATACACGAGAGATGGGAAACAACATAACAATGTCAGGGAAAGACGGGAGATGGGAGATAACAGAACAATATCAGGGATACACGGGAGATGGGAAACAACAGAACAATATCAGGGAGAACAGGAGATGGGAAACAACAGGACCATATCAGGGATACACGGGGGATCGGAAATAACAGAACCATATCAGGGATACACGAGAGATGGGAAACAACAGAACAATATCAGGGATACACGGGAGATGGGAAATAACAGTAACATATCAGGGATACATGGGAGATAGGAAACAAAAGAACAATATCAGGGGTACACGGGAGATGGGAAACAACAGAACAATATCAGGGGTACAGGGGGTATGGGAAACAACAGGACAATATCAGGGATACACGGGAGATTGGAAACAACAGGACAATAACAGGGATACACGAGAGATGGGAAACAAAAGAACAATATCAGGGGTACACGGGAGATGGGAAACAACAGAACAATATCAGGGGTACACGGGAGATGGGAAACATCAGAACAATATTAGGTGTACACGGGAGATGGGAAACAACAGAACAATATCAGGGGTACATGGGAGATTGGAAACAACAGAACAATATTGGGGGTACACGGTAGATGGGAAACAACAGAACAATATCCGAGATACAGGAGCAATTGGAAATAACAGTAACATATCAGGGTTACACGGTAGATGGGAAACAAAAGAACAATATCACGGATACACTGCAAATGGGAAACAACAAAATATTAGCAGGGGTAAACGGGAAACAGGAAACAACAGAAAAATATCAGGAATACACGGGGTCTGAGAAACAACACAACAATATCAGGGATACATGGGCGATGGGAAACAACAGAACAATATCGGGGATACACGGGGGATGAGAAACAACAGCACGATATCAGAGATACATGGGGGTTGAGAAACAACAGAGAACACT